ATTCTTGGGCTGGCTGGGCTGGGCTGGGCTGTGGGCTGTGGGCTGTGGGCTGTGGGCTGTGGGCTGTGGGCTGTGGGCTGTGGGCTGTGGGCTGTGGGCTGGGCCGGGCTGGGCTGGGCTGCTGGGCTGGGCTGGATTGGGTAGGGTTGGGCTGGGCTGAGTTGTGGCTGGGCGCGGGCTTATGGGTTTGAAGCGGAAGTTGGTTTTTTTAATGACAAGGTGAGGTCTGGACCAGAAAAAACAAGAGTTCAGGATTGCCAACAGCAACAAGCAATTTCTATTTATTTCCTTCTTGAGGGTTTAGGGTTCAGGGTTTAGGGCTTAGGGTTTAGGGTTTAGGGCTAAGTGCTTAGGGTCTAGTTATTATGCCGGCAAGAGTCCAAATGTATTATTCCGAAACACCCCAGGGCGCTCAACGCTAACTCCCTGAATCTCAAGATTAAAGTCCGATTTCCTAAAACTAAAATAGCTCTTTGAACGCTAAACCCTAACCCTAAACCGGGGGATCATGCGGAGGAAGAGTCAGTGCACTTAGAAAAAACACCCTAAACCCTAAACCCTATAGGTGAAGCTCATTGACTTCGGTTTCGGCAGCCGGATCTTGGAAGGCGTCAAGCTCCGGGCAAAGGTCGGCACCTTCGTGCCCCTTGGATCCCAGAAGTACTACCACTACTACTACTACTACTACTACTACTACTACTACTAAGAGTTTCCAAATAGGATCTGCGTATGATATACCCGAAACCCTAGACCCTAAACCCCTAAACCCTAAACCCGAAAAAAGCCTATTGAAACGATGGTGGCCCCTATACTGAGGCTTCTCTGTTCTGGTTTAAGGCCGTCCTGAAGGAAAAGTGGGCTTTGCAGGCGGAGTTTCCCTTCGTTTCGCGCCATCGGGACTCTGTATAGGGCAATTTAATATTTAGGGTTTAGGGTTCAGGGGTTTAGGGTTTTCGGGTTCAGGGTTTTAGGGTTTCGGGTTTGGGGTTTTAGGGTTTTAGGGTTTTGGTCTGAAGATAGGGGTTTGTTGCTTCCACAAGGCGAGGGTGGTAGGTGTAATTACAGTTTCAACATCGGGCTACACGTTCCTGATCTGTTGCTATCAGATTTACTTACAACCTTACTGATAGCTTGCTTTCCAAGTCAGCTGATCCGTTGGGTCATATGTATCATGACATCCGTGAGGCCGTGTGGTTTGTCATGAGACGTAAAAAGTTAGCTATTACTGGGTTAAAGTGTGGTAGTTCGTGTTGCGCAGGAGTTGGTAGGCTGCCCTACTGAAGTCCAGTACAGAAGCCATGTATGAGCACACAGATAGATGCAGATAGAAAAGTAAGTAAGTAGATCTTGGACCATGGTCAAAACCCCAAACCCTAAACCCTAATCCCGTGTTGAGAGGTTATTATTTTGGGGTGTGGAGAAAACCTCTGCACTTGTTGGGAGCCTATTTCGGGCAGACGCAACAGAGTCATCCCAACTGCAAAAAACACTAATCCACGGGCCGTAACAGCCGTAACAATTGGTAAAGGGTTTTGGGGCCATTATACTATAATTGTAACAAGGTAGTATAGAGCTAAGTGCCAGTTGCTTTTGACTGCCTGGGTTCCCCCAAGTATCGGACTCTGGGCTCGTCATCTTGGACTGATTACTGTAGGGGCCTAAATAAGTCCCGAAACCCTAAGCCCTCAACCCTAAATCCTAGACCTTAAACCCTGAACCCTGAACCCTAAGTACTAACACTATTTTTGGGTGTTTCTAAATATATCTATAGTACACTGGGCCTCAAAATCCTATTCCACTCATTAAGGCCCCTACATTACAATTCTTGCCTAAGCCCAACAGCCGATAAACTGGGTTCTGGAGTGCCATTCTAGATGATTTTTGCTTTTCGGACCTGTTCCTTTTGAGGAACCCTTTCGATATGAACTTGTATGCTTTTTTCTCCCTGGTTACTTCCAAATCCAGTACAATAATGCAGGGTTGAAGGTCTCAGGCACGTCGCAGCGATGCCCTCGGCATGCACCAGATCCCATCATTAACTAACGAACCTGAACAATTCACATGTGCTTGGACTATCTTGGACGCAAAGGACCGATGCCCCAACCCTAAACCCTAAACCCTAAACCCTAAACCCTAAACCTTCACCAACCCAATTCTGAACCATAAACAAAGCCAGCGGCTCCAAAACCCGAAATACTACACGCTGTGTGAACCTGACCCGAAACCCGAGACTTTAAAGCCAGACAAGGGTTTAGGGTTTAGGGTTTAGGGTTTACAGATCAGGAACCGCTCTAATTAAGATGCAACACCCTCATATGGGGGCCTAAATAGTTACCTATACTGTTTCGGGACGGCGGGGTGTCCTTATTATAACGATAGTATAATATACCCCCCAAAACCCCATTCTAATTATTACGGCCCCTACTAAGCCCGAAAAACCCTACACACTAAACCCTAAACCCTAAACCCTAACCCTAAACATTAAACCCTAAACCCTGAACCCTAAACCCTAAACCCTAAACCCTAACCCTAAACACTAAACCCTAAACCCTGAACCCTAAACCCTAAACCCTATACAACAACTCCGTGAGAACCCTCGAAGATTTCAGGTACAGTGCCCCAGAGATTCTCAGAGGTGACCTTTGTGACGAGTTGCTTGGAACGCCATACCAAGGTTTTTTTTATGAGGAGAACTTGAAAGGGGGTTTTAGATTCCTAGGGATTACCGTAACCCACCAAAACCTGCTTTGTTTGTAGGGCCCCTAAATTCTACATTAGGGTTCACAATAAGAACCTACAAAGAAGTAGGGTTTGGTAGTTTAAGGTAAGGTTTAGGGTGTTTAACGTGGTGTTCTGCGAAAAGTTATCTGACCCCAGGTACCTCACTCCCATCTTGACTGGGGCCCTCAAAAACTTAGTGTTGAAGTCGGGCTTATGATAAGACGCTGAGTGCAAGTAGCTTTCGGTAGGTTAGGGCAAGGCTTCAACGATTTTTCGCATGGGTTTAAGGTTCTGAGTTTCAGGACTTTCGGCTTGAATCGAAGGTATTCAGGATCTTAGATTCATGGAGCTTCCACTATTCTGGCCTAGTTCCGCAAATGACAAACCCCTAGCCATGAGCCCCAAATCCTAAACCCCTCAGCCCTAAATCCTAACCCCCTAAACCCCAAGCCGTTCAATCTACGTGTTATCTGGAAGTTTTCATCCGGAGGGGAAATGGCGACATGGGTTGAACGTTCAATGATAAACAATTGACAGCCCTAGGATTTGGGGATCAGGATTCAGGAGTTTAGGATCCTGGTTTAGGGTTTAATGTTTGGGGTCTTAGGGTTTTGAGATTTTTAGCTTGCTTGCGATCAGGATCCTGAAGTACCGGGCAATTTCGCCGAGCCCCTAAACCCCAAACTCTAAATCCTAAACCCTAAAGAGACTATGGCCTCCTAAGTAAAGCGCATCCGAAGGCATCCCGTCCTTTCAATGAGCGCCGAGGCATTCCTGCCCTTGACACCTACCTTAGCATGAGTGCTACAACATCGACTTCGTCGAGAAGCATCAGCGAACCGTATAAGCCAGGCTCGTCGCACCAACATACAACGTGGAGGCTTCGAAGCATCGCTCAGGGGACGGCCAAAAAGTGATTTCTGTATGACTGGTTCCGCAGGAGCGACAGCGAATGGTTCTGGCGGTGGGGCGACAAGTGGTACATGAACACCAGTGAAACCCTAAACCCTAAACCCTAAACCCATGGTCTTGTCAACTCAAACTTGCTGCGAAGTCATCCCTGGATAGAAGGGTTTCGACCTGGCTTAAGCAAGTACTTCACTTGAGCTCGTGTAGCCCTCCACCAATCTTCTCTACAACCACAAAGCTCCAAAAGCCCTAAACTCTAAACTCTAGAGGTTCTATCCGAAGACCCTAAACCCTAAACCCTAAACCCGAAACCCTAAACCCGAAACCCTAAGCCCTAAGCCCTAAGCCCTAAGCCCTAAACCCTAAACCCTAAACTCAAACCCCTGAGCCCCTGAAAGCCCTAACACCCCCAAGGCCCTGAAGTAGACAGACTGCCCAGCTGAAAGGGCGTCGAACTCGGCCAGCGGGAAGACAAGAGGGTTTTGGCGTTAGGTAGTGTTTGAGACTTAGTTGCTCAGTTCACACACCCACAAAAGTGTATACTTAGAGTCTTATGATAAGGGATAGAATTCTCACAAAATTTGCAATTCGTACGCACACAGCCTTTACACAGACAAAACATGCGAAAGACTCCATGGCCTGTGAAAAGCCCGCGCACTCGGCCCGCACCCACCACCCAAACAGCATTGAATCACATAATAAGAGTAAGACTGACAGTTGTACGAAGAATACTAGTAATCATATTGAAAACAAATAATAACCACGTAAGAATGGTAATAATACGAAGAAGATTACCAGCAATCATATTCAGAATAAGTAACCAACCCTAAACCCGAAACCCTAAACCCTAAACCCTAAACCCTGAAACCTAAACCCTAAACCCTGAAACCACATCTCCACAGCCTAGGAAGATCGATCTCTGGGCTTTGGGCTGCGTCCTTTTCGTGCTGCTGTCGGGCGACTTCCCGCTCCTCAGAGAGACCGGCTTAGGGTTTAGGGCTTAGGGTTGATGATATAAATCCTGCAATACCTTAAGGGCCCTAAACTATGGGAATTATGGTATATTCCTTATCCTGGGTAATCCAGGATTTGTATCATCAGCCGTAGTTCAAGGCGGTTTAGGGTTTCGTCTGGGGTAGGGCTTAGGGTTTAGGGTTTGCTTCATGTTATGTGGGCCTTTTTCGGGTTTAGCGATTTAGGGATAGAGGGCCTAGTGAGTTTACTGGGATGTGGGTGTAGGGTTTGCTAATGGGCAAATTCTGGTGCGTTAGACTACACTAACCATGTATGCTTTTTTTTTGTGGGCAATGCCGGGTTGGTGCTTTTTCAGGATTTTGCATCTTGACCTGATTGGGGTTTCTCTTGAGGCCGCCCGCAACCCTAGAGCGTCCCAGAACAAAGGTTTTGGGAGTGTAAGGATATATAGGTGTGCTAACTAGTTCCCCCAGCGGTACACTGATGCCCTTATTATTTGGGTTCGGGGTCTAACAATCAAGACTGAGTAGTTATTTTCAAGGGTTACTGTGGAACCCTATCGAACGCATTTCAATAGCTAATATTGCGGCGCGTATATTGGTAAGTTGAGTAGTTCGTGAGGCTAGACATTGAAACTCCTATGCATTTTCCATCGTTTTCCAAATGGGCCTGAATCCACCTAAACAATGCCCTATACATCGCAATTCCCTGTAAAGTCTTACAGCTGACTAGAAACTCGTATTAAACCCTAACCCCCTAAACCCTAAACCCTAAACCCCTAAACCCTAAACCCTCAATGATCCCCGGAAATTATAAGCCTCAAATCCCCAGGTTTTACGGCAACGATACGCAGAGCCAGATCCTCTCGGGCAAGTTCGAGCTCGACCATAAGATCCTTCATCGCATTCATGGTTTAGGGTTTAGGGTTTGGGTTGAGGGTTTAGGGTTTAGGGTTTGCAGGGACTTTTTTTTACACAGGGATGTCATTATGAGTTTTGCATGGGACTTTACATCTGTATTAGTACTGGTGGGACGTTTATGATGAAACGAGTGGTGTTGGATATAGTACAATGAAATTGCACAAGCGACTGTGAAGGGATGTTGCCACCAAGTTTTCAGAAGTCTACACTTAGGAGTTTTGTTGTCAGGGCTCGTGTGGTGTTGGGGCATATTCTGTGCTACTTCGTAATCACATACACAACCTTCAAACCGATGGGAGTCTTACGTACCTAAAGCCCTTTAAGAACCCAAACAGCGCTCCGTAAGAAGCCCACCAACCCGCAAAACAAACCCTACAAGAACTTGTGAATAGCAAAAAGCCTACATTAACCTTTCAACAACCTACCTTAGTACTGCCTAGAGGCCTTTTGGATTCGGGACATTGGACATCTTTGCGGTTTCTGTGTACTACTCTTCTCGACATGCATGGGTCGACAAACCCGAAACCCTAAACCCTAAACCCTCCATGAGACAAAAGTATTCGGAAGGTCAAAGAATAGGATTTTGGGTACTTTGAGGGTTTACATGTAGCCCTACTATGAGACATCCCAAAGCCGCATTCTAATTATGAAGGCCCCTATGGTACAGGATCCAGTAAGCTGTAGTCTTAGGTCCAGATCACCCTACGAAGCATCATGCCGATTTCCGTGGATGTGCATCTTCTGAGTGGCAAATCTGCATCTATCCAAGTGGAGGCGGATGCATCCCTTGCATCACTGAAACATCGCGCCCAGACTGCCTTGGCGAGAAGAGGGCGGCTGCTGAATTCTTCTGGAAAGGTGCTTGATGGAGCACAAAGTGTCACAGAAGCGAATTTGAGAAGTGGAGACGAGCTCAGATTATGTGTGAACCAGGTCCAGGTTGTACCCACCAGACAAGACGATCTAGGCAGTCTCGTCACTGCATTCGCCGCTCTCTTGAGTGATGGATCTGTGGTCACCTGGGGTGATTCCGACTATGGTGGCGACAGCAGTGCGGTGCAGGAGCAGCTGCGAGATGTTCAGCAGATCCAAGCTTCTCATGGTGCTTTTGCTGCAATCCTGAGCGATGGATCTGTGGTCACCTGGGGTGATGCCGGCTATGGTGGCGACAGCAGAGCGGTACAGGAGCACCTGCGAGATGTGCAGCAGATCCAAGCTTCTCATAGTGCCTTTGCTGCAATCCTGCGCGATGGATCTGTGGTCACCTGGGGTGATGCCGGCTATGGTGGCGACAGCAGTGCGGTACAGGAGCAGCTGCGAGATGTTCAGCAGATCCAAGCTTCTCATGGTGCCTTTGCTGCAATCCTGCGCGATGGATCTGTGGTCACCTGGGGCGGTCGCTACGTATACAGTGGTGGCGACAGCAGTGCGGTACAGGAGCAGCTGCGAGATGTGCAGCAGATCCAAGCTTCTGCTTATGCCTTTGCTGCAGTCCGGATTGATGGATATGTGGTCACCTGGGGTGATTCCGACTATGGTGGCGACAGCAGTGCGGTACACGAGCAGCTGCGAGATGTGCAGCAGATCCAAGCTTCTGATGGTGCCTTCGCTGCAATCCTGCGCGCTGGATCTGTCGTCACCTGGGGCGCTCGCTGCCGTGGTCGCGACAGCAGTGCGGTACAGGAGCATCTGCGAGATGTGCAGCAGATCCAAGCTTCTGATGCTGCCTTTGCTGCAATCCTGCGCGATGGATCTGTGGTCACCTGGGGTGATGCCGACTATGGTGGCGACAG